AGCGTGGGTGAGTGGGGACGCGAGCCCGTGGCCGTGAGGCCTGTCGGTGACGTCTCCTGGTCACGCTGGGTCTTAGGATGTCAGTCGGCGCTTCTTCTTTTTATTTTTTTTTTAAATCCTTTCAGCTGGACATCCCTGGGGCATCCTTTGGGTCGGGGGGGACCCCTCACAGGGCAGTGGGCTTGGTCCCTGCTCTCTGGTGAGCCCTAGTGGCCAGGGCGGCTGGGGCCCTCCGGGCTGGTACCGCATGCCTGCATGTCCCTCACCACCAAGGCCCACGAGAGTAACCCCCCCCCGTCCCTGCCCCCGTTTCTGCCTGTGCACAGCCCTGGACTGGACACGTGTAAGAATAAGCCACACTCACTCCCCCCTGACACCTGACTGGGGAGGGGACGCCCGACTCAACCCAGAAACCTAACCAGCTGGTTTTCCACGACTCAGCTTTTAGTGACCAGAGAGAGTTGGTAGATAGTGACCATGGGGTGCTGTTTCAGTGTTAAAAAAAAAAAAAAGGACATAGTGGACCATGTCCGTGACCCTTTCGCCTGCCTGATTTCCGCCACCCGCCCGCCTTGTCTGGGCAGGCCAGGCAGGCAGATTTCCGGAGACACGGGGGAGTTCAGCGAGCCTGCTCCATGCAGCAAACCCCATTAGAACGAGCAGCCCGGCCAAATGAATCCATCGTTTAAAAAGAGCGCATTAGCCCTGGCTGGTGTGGCCCTGTGGATAGAGCGTCCACCTGCGGACTGAAGGGTCCCAGGTTCGATTCCGGTCAAGGGCACATGCCCAGGTTGCGGGCTCGATCCCCAGTAGGGGGTGTGCAGGAGGCAGCCGATCTCTGATTCTCTCTCACCATGGATGTTTCCATCTCTCTCTCCCTCTCCCTTCCTCTCTGACATCAATCTATACTCATAAAAGTGCAATATGCTAATTAGACCGGAGGTCCTTCTGGATGAGCCGGGGCTGCGAGGGACACCTGGGTCCCGGGTGCCGGAGGGAAGCCGGTGCCTGTAGCCAGGGGAAGGAAGGCCTTCTCTTGCACGAATTTTGTGCATCGGGCCTCTAGTCAATTTATATATTTTTTAAAAAGAATGCATTAGAAAGCTGGCCGAACGGGTGGGCTCCCTGGAGATGTGCTTTGAAAGCCAAGGAAACTTTCATTTTAAACTCACATGGTGCCAGAAGCCACTGCTTAGATCAGTGGTCGCCAACCGGTGGTCCGCCGGCCACTGGTGGTCTGTGAGGTCTGAAAGGTTGGCGACCGCTGGCTGGGTGCTCTAGCTGACAGCAGTCACTTTGCTTCTTCGCATAGTTCTTATTTTTTTTTAAACAATATCAGAGGGAGACACAAGACAATATTGCCCGTTGTCCTGTCTCATCCAGTAAGTGCTCAGAGCTCGAAGGCTTTAAGCCCCCCGTCCCCACACCCCCGGCCACACCCCCGCTTTCAGGGTCTTTAATTTGCTTCTAACACCCGAGATGGATCCATCATGAGCAAAGATTTGATTTTCCAGAGCCAAAGAAATTGCATACATGTCTCCGGCCACTTATTTCACTCCTTGCTGGGTGACACCCATAGATTGCTTTGCACCGAGGATGGCGGCTTGCACATGCTGTGTGTGTGTGTGTGTGTGTGTGTGCGCGCGCCTGCTCAGAACGGACACCCTGTTTCCAATAAAACTGATAAATAAGAGCATCCCCCAATCGCACTGTCCTCAGAGCTCATCCATTTCACATGGGACAAACAACACACATCCCCCCCCGCCCCCGCCCCCGGTCCCATCCCTCTCTCCTATTAAACTACCTTTAGACACAAGTAGCATGTTTTGATGTATAAAGGAAATGCTTCAGCCCTCGCCAGTTTTGCTCAGTGGTTAGAGCACCAGTCCTCGGACTGAAGGATCTGGGATTTGATTCCAGGTCAAGGGCACATACCTCAGTGGCAGGCTCCGTTCCCCAGCCCCCGTCAGGGTGTAAACACCTCTCTCACATTGATGTTTCTCTCTCTCTCTCTCTCTCTTCTCTTCCCCTCCCTTCCCCCCATTCTCTCTAAAACAAAACAAAAATCAATGGAAAACATATCCTAGGGTGAGGATTAAGAGAGAGAGAGAGAGAGAGAGAGAACCCTTCATTTCTTCTTGCTCTCTGAAAACTGATCCCTACTACAAATCTGCTTTTGAAAACAGCCTTTGTGGCTTTGTATTTTGTAGAGAAAAACATAGACAAGCGAACAAAATAGCGCATATTTGACCAAAAACGACTCTGCCATTTGAGAACGCGGTACGGAGGAGAAGGGCGTGTGGTTAGAAACGCGAATGCCTGAAAACAGTTGCCGTTGTCTTAATGAAGTCGCCTCTGCACTTGGGACTCCTCCTGTCTTATGCCTCGAAGTGTTTTTATTTGTTTGTTTGCCTTTGGTGTTATTGACTGATTGGCATATAGAAAGGGTGAAGTTTTATGTTGTCAATGGATAACTTTTTCCTTTCTAGATCTTGGAGTTTGGTTCTAGTTTTAAAAGACCCTCCCCATCCTGAGATTATAAATAAACTTACTCTTATTTTCTTCTAAGTCTTTATGGTTCCATTTGTTTACATCTTCTAACTCCCTGGAATTCATTTGTTGCAGGTAATGGAGGTAAAGATGCAATTTTTTTTTTTCTCCGAATGGGTGGTCGCTTGTGTAATAAAATAGATAACCATGCATTTTGGCAATACAATTATAATCCTTTCCCCACTTGATCAAAGTGCCACCTTTTTGTAAACTAAATGCCTTTAAATGTTTGGGTCTATTTCTGTTTTATTATCTCTCCATGAATGCCTTCAAACTTCTCAGGCTTTATTCATATTAGTATCAAATACTCACATTAATGTGAATATCTGCAAGTCAACCCTCCCCTCAACTAAACCCCCCCCCCCACAGTAATAATAGGGTCTTTGAGAGAATTCAGGGAACAATGGCTAAAAATTCACTGTCAAAAATTCTTTTGATACCTCATTTTTAACTCTTCTTCAGCTATACTTTAGGAGTTCTGATTTTTATAAAGCCAGATGAGTGTTCGATATCGAGAAACAAATGACCCTTTTATTTTTTTAAAAAAATATATTTTATTGATTTTTCACAGAGAGGAAGGGAGAGAGATAGAGAGTCAGAAACATCGATGAGAGAGAAACACCGATCAGCCGCCTCCTGCACATCTCCCAGTGGGGATGTGCCCGCAACCAAGGTACATGCCCTTGACCGGAATCGAACCTGGGACCCTTCAGTCCGCAGACCGACGCTCTATCCACTGAGCCAA